CCCCACTCACTAGCATAACCCTGTGCCCCTGGAGATATTGCTAACAGACACACTCGTAGCCTATAACCAAGACCACACTAATCTTATTCTACCAACTCTGTAAAAGTGCTGGACTATGCCTGCCATGTCATTGTACAGTTTGTATGCATTGCACCTGTATTTGTTGTTGTGGCGAATCAGGCCATATTGTTATATGCTGCACGCAAAAATAAAGAATATAAAAAAAAAAAAAAAGTGGGTAAGAGTAGGACAAGTGCCCTGCAAACAAATGTGGATAGGGAAATCACTTAAAAATAACATAAAATAAGCAGCCACTTAGTAGATAACTCCCTAATTCCCACGGTACTGCTGTGTGTGTGTGTGTGCTGTGTGAGGGTGCTGTTAGTGTGATGTGTGTGTGACGATGCAGGTAGAGTGCTATGTGAGTGAGGGTGTTTGTGTGGGTGCTGTTAATGTACTGTGTGTGAGGGTGCTGTTTGTGTGTGTGTGTGCGCTTGTGAGGGTGCTGTTAATGTACTGTGTGTGAGGGTGCTGTTTGTGTGTGAGGGTACTGGTAGTGCGCTGTGTGTGTGTTTGTTAGGGTCCTGTTTGTGAGGGTACTGTTAGTGTGCTGTGTGTGTGTGAGGGTGCTGTTTGTGTGCTGTGTGTGAGGGTGCTGTGTGTGTTTGTGAGGGTGCTGTATGTGTGTGTGGGTGCTGTATGTGTGTTGGTGCTCTGTATGTGTGTGGGTGCTGTGTATGTCTGTGAGTGCTGTGTGTGTCTGTGGGTGCTGTATGTGTGTGGGTGCTGTGTATGTCTGTGGGTGCTGTGTATGGGTGCGTGCTGTGTATGTCTGTGGGTGCTGTGTATGTTTGTGGGTGCTGTATGTCTGTGGGTGCTGAAATGTATGTGGGTGCTGAATGTGGTGGGTGCTGTGTATGTCTGTGGGTGCTGTATGTGTGTGGGTGCTGTATGTGTGTGTGGGTGCTGTGTATGTCTGTGGGTGCTGGATGTCTGTGGGTTCTGTGTATGTCTGTGGGTGCTGTATGTGTGTGGGTGCTGTGTGGGTGCTGTGTATGTCTGTGGGTGCTGAAATGTGTGTGTGTGGTGCTGAATGTCTGTGGTGCTGTATGTCTGTGGGTGCTGTGTATGTCTGTGGGTGCTGTATGTCTGTGGGTGCTGTGTATGTCTGTGGGTGCTGTGTATGTCTGTGGGTGCTGTGTATGTCTGTGGGTGCTGTATGTGTGTGGGTGCTGTGTGTGTGTGCTGAATGTGTGTGGGTGCTGAATGTGTGTGGGTGCTGTATGTGTGGGTGCTGTATGTGTGTGGGTGCTGAATGTGTGTGGGTGCTGTATGTGTGTGCTGTATGTGTGTGGGTGGGTGATTGTGGGGGTGGAGGTGGGGGTACATTATTTGCTATCCCCCCTCCCTTCTTACCTTTTGTAGGGAGGGGGGATCGTGCTGCTGCTTCCTTCCCTGGTGGTCCAGTGGAGGAGGGGATCCTTGCTGCTGTGATCCCTGGTGGTCCAGTGGAGAGTGAACTCTAACCCCCGTGGGGGCTAGAGTTCACTCTCGCGAGATTTGAGCGTTGCCGTGGCAACGCTCATATCTCGCGAGAGGAACCCGGCGGAGCTGCCGGCAATAGCTCCGCCGGGTCCTCTCCTGCCTCCCTCCCTGCATGTGGGTCAGTGCCGGTCCCCTGCCGGTCTCAATATACATAGGCGGGCCGCGGGGATTAGGGTGTGCCCAGGCACACCTGGCACACCCCGTGCGCACGCCTATGTTTATGGCACCCACCCAGGGGTGGAGGCCGGAGGGGAGGACAATAGATCCCCCCTTTAGTTTAAAAGCCCCCACTCGCGCGTCATGGGTGGGGGTTCAGGAGGGGGGAATTTTTTTATTTATTTTTAACAGTAAGCAGCCACAGACTGCTCACTGTTTATTAGACATGCCCCTACTAACTGGGTCACATGCTGCACTGGCCAATCACAGCCATGCCATTAATAGGGAGTCAAACACTTGTTGATTGGCTGCCCTGCAGCCTTTCAAAACGCGTCATTAAATCGCCGAACACCGAACTCCAACCCGAACATACAGTGATATGTCCGTGTTCGGGTCCGGGGTCCAAAAAACATAATGTTCGGTACGAACCCGAACTTTTCAGTTCGGGTTCACTCAACTCTAAAGGAGAGTAGTGATATGGGACGGTAGTTAGAAGCAAAAGTAGTGTCAAGAGATTACTTTTTAGGATGGGAATGGTGATTGTATGTTTGAGGGAACAGAGGAAGATGCCAGTAGACAGATGTTGATGTGCAGTCACTTCCTCCCAGTGTGTGATCTCGTCACAGGGGGCTTGGTCGCGCTGTTAAAACCTCTTCAGTTACTCACCGTATTCCACCGCCGGGCTCCCTTACCTCTCCTCCCCCGCCGACGTCAGTTCCCCCGTCTCAAGTCAGCGGAGCGGAATGCGCATGCGCGGCTATGCCGCGCGCGCGCATTCAAAGTGTTCCCTAGGAAAGCATTTCTCAAAGCTTTCCTATAGACGCTCTGCATGATGGAGGCATAATATGCCTCCAGCGTCACAGATGCGCCTCTAGTCCAGAAGACTGCCACTAGAGGCTGGCTTAACCCCAAATGTAAACATAGCAGTTTCTCTGAAACTGCTATGTTTACAGCAGAGAGGGTTAACCCTAGAGGGACCTGGCACCCAGACCACTTCATTGAGTCTGGGTAACTATAGTGTCCCTTGAAAGGTATTGTAAGCTATGGCCTTGATTGATTTTGTTTGAAATCATTTCTGATGCTGATTCAATCTTTTAGAAAAACAAACAATTGTTCATCTACAAATATTTCCATAGACTTTAATGGTAACTTTTACTGAAATATTATTTTAAGTTTTATTTTGCCATCAGTTCAGAATTGGCAGGAACCAGTGGGACCCTGGTACACCTATCTACTGTCTAGTTAGAAGAGGTCTTTATGGAAGACTTGTGGCCAAAATCCATACCTCCTACATGGAAACAAGGCCAAGTGACTCAACTATTCATGAAAACACGGAATGAGTCTCTTCATGCAACAGCGAAGCATAATGAAGGTTCCTTGCAAGTTTGCAAATGGAGTTGGGAATTTGATCAAAATGAATGGTCCCTTCAATGCTGAGATATTTATTAAATGCGTGCATTAATGTTTTTCAGTTGGTACAAACAAATCAAATTCCCTTTAATCTACACCCAAACAAATTGATCATCTGGGATTTACCTGTGGAGTCTTATTGAATGAATTAGACTCCACTGGTAAATTCCTGATGGATTAAAAGACATTTGATTCATTTGCAGCAGCTACAACTTATTTGTGCACAAGTCTAATATTTTTCCATCATTCATTACCATCAGGGAGACATCTGACTGGCCTCAAATTATTTCTGCAGCATGACAATGCACCTAAACATACAGCCCAAATCATTAAAACCATCTACAATGTAATGAAGAACAAAGAGTCTTGGAAGTGATTACATAGCCCCAAATAGAGCCCTGATGTCAACATCATCAAGTCTGTTTGGGTTTTACATGAAGAGACCAAAACAAACGAAGCTGCCTAAAGCCATGGAAGGACTGTAGTTAGTTTTGGAACAACCTACCTGCTGAGTTCTTTACAAATCGAAATGTAATTAGAAAGATTGATGCTGTTGTAAAGGCAACAGATGATTACTCCAAATATTGATTTGATTTAGATTTTTCTTCTGTTCATTCACTTTGCATTTTTTTAATTGATAAAAATACATTTTGAAAATTTGAAAGCATTCTTACTTTACATTATTTTTTAAGTATGTAATTGACTGTCAAATAAACATCACTGTAGACAATAACAAACATCACTTAAAGGAACTCTCCAGGCACCATAACAACTTAATTTAGATGAAGTTGTTATGATGGCAGTAGGCCCCCAGGTGCTCTCTTACCTCAAGAGGGTAAACCTTTCTTGAAGTTATCTCAAGCGCCGATCTCAACAACCCCAGGCAGCACACGGCTTCTGAAATTTCAGTTTCAGGAAGCTTAGAGTTCCACCGGCCAAGGGCACTGCTGATTGGCTGAGAGTGGTCAGCTGATGCTCTCAGCCAATCAGTGATAGCCGACTGAGGCAGATGTAGCTAGGGCTCTTTAGTGGAAACCCTAAAATAAGGCTATTAAGCGGGTATTTAATCCGATTTTTGATGGCAAACCTGCCTTCTATATCTACCTACACCATAACAGTCTGACTAAGTTTTGGAAGACAGATTCAGCGCTACTTACCTCAGAGCCCTATGATACCAACTAGGGTGGAGGGGTAGGCTGCTCCTTCACTTCACGTTCTTGCAGCTTGTTTTGGGCCCTGTCCCACCCCCACATCCCCTTTGGACTGGTGGGGGATATCTCGGTCCCCACTGGTGTGCCGACTGAAGGACAGTTGTAAGCAACAAAGATTAGCAGACAGTCCTGAGAGGCCATACACCTGAAACCACCACCATTCCAAGATGGCCACCGCAAACTTTAATAATTTTTTTTTTCAGACAGCAGAGGGCGTACCTGTCATTACAGTTACTCCCCCTGCTGGCAATGCCTTGGACGGCTATGCCGTCCATGTAATCGTGAGGTCCTCGCAAGGACCTCGCGATCACATGGCCCAGTGGGGCCGAAGAGGACGGAGGGGGACTCCCTGAGCTCCCAGGTGAGTCCCCATACCGCGATCGCCAGCGTGGGATCGCCGGCAACCAGGTAAGTAGAAAGGACGGTTTGGGCGCTCTATGCTGCCCTCCGGCGTTTAGAGCCGGGTCCCCAAGGATGGCATAGAACACCTGCTGTCCTTAAGGGGTTAAAGTACATAGTTATATAGGCTGAAAAGAAACATGCAGCCATCAAGTACAGCCTTTCGCACATCTGTTTTTGCTGTTGATCCAAAATGAACTTTAAAATGTTCTAGTTTGGTTACATTTTTTTTTTTTTTTTTATCCTTACTGCTTTCTACGTATTGATGCCCTAAAGCAAAATGTATAATCTGAAATATCACATGTGGAAATATGAGCTTTCAAAATCCATCTCAGGCTTTCTAGGCAACAGATTATATGCAAGTGACATCAGCGGAAACACGACTGGCCACAGAAGGTGGGGGCTGAGAGCTGGGTCTCTGAGTGTGTCCAACTAGCAATGACAAGAAGAGGGGGAAGAAAAGTACCCGCTTCAATAGGAGAAGCTTGAGCAAGTGCTTCGAATCCTGTATCTTGGCAACAAGGCTTCTGTTTAACATTGAGGAGGGGCGTGGCGTGAGAGGACTTGCCTTTTAATACCATCAGAGAAGGACTCTCCTGAGCTGTTCTTGCAGACCTTTTTTGCTTTTTTTTTTATCTTGAGTTAAAAAGAATCTGGCTCTATTTTCAGATTTAAGAAGCAGGGCTAGGTTTTTTTTTTTCCAATTCTTTTTGAAGCGGGAGTGCGACTGATTAGCATGGTAAGGACAAAAATAAAACTATTACTCTAGAAAGTAAAAACTTCAGCTATAACTATATATTTTTTCTTAAACACAGATGCATGCTAGGCTTGGTTGCAGATCGGAGTATATATTTTAATTACGTAAAATAGCATTTCTTCTTGTTTGAGATTTAAAAAAAACATAAATGTGTGTGTATGTATGTATGTGTATATATATATATATATATTATAGTGTGTGTTTGTAATATATGATAGTTATTAGCGCATTAACACTTTCTATATGTGATGTGTCACGTAATTCTAAAGTTTGCGGTCATGATTGAAAACATGTTCAGTATAATGCATCCTTTATCGCAGATTGCAAATAAAATTATACATTGGCGGTAAGTCCTAAATAGATGCTTGTGACCCTGCAATTAAACCTGCCATGCAATTATCTATTGCTTTAAAGTTTTAACACTTTCAGCACTTTGTAAAAGGATTGCCTAAATGATTCAGTTCCAAGTTTTGTGGGGACGGCGGAGGACTAAGATTGTAGATAAATGGGTTAATAGTGAAGCAGCTTCTGTTTTCATCAGCTGCCAAGACCTTGTTACTGCGTCAACTTTCTTAGCAGCCCAGAGCTAAGCCTGAGCATATTTAGTTGAATAAGCATTTGCTGCAAATAGCACATTTATTCTGGGTAGGCCTGTGGACCCTAACTTGTGTACTGTATTCCAACCCTTTAGTACAGTCCAACAGTCAGTTAAGTGTTTCTGAGTTACATGTAACCCCAAATTAATTTTTTAAAATTTTTTAATCTTTGGGTTTGTGTCTAATTAATGGTGCTTTCTGTCTGATCTTCTTGGGATTATAATGCTTCTGCTAAAAAATATATATAAATTGTGTGTGTTCATTGATAGAGAGTGAAGCACCCCCATAATGTATTAGCATAGCTCTTAAGTGCAAGGCTTTTGTGTAAAGGTGCTTAGAAAAATATCAAACTGGCGCACAAATTAGCTATTTGGGATTTGTCTCTATGATCCAAATTGTCAACTAAATGGCTCAAATTTGTATATCCTCTAAATGGTAATGGCTTGCTAAATCAACTATTATTTTAATATTTCCTTGTGCTACATTTATTTAGAGACAGAGTGTTACTATTTTTCTTGCTAATTAGAAGTGGAGATCCAGGATATGTAAGGGTCCCTGAGAACCCATGTTAAACCGTGAAATGGCTTTGATGGGTTGAATTCCTAAAATAATTAAGTAGGGGTCCCTTATTAACCATGGGAGAGCCGAGATTTCATCCCACCTATGTCTTCCCCTTCAGTAAGATGTTAACCGTATTATGTAAAGCTGGGGGTTCCTTTCGGCTTCAACAACCAGACAAGGTGGTACGCAGTGAATGTCAAGAGTGCAGATGGGGCAAATAAAATAATTTAGCCGCAGCGTCCCAATGCCATGGCCATTACTATAGCACAGTAACAGGGGAACCACAAGCGTTTGAATATATGAAGGAGGATACATTTCACACTCTTTCTAGAACAGCCCAGCCAATAATATTACACCCCCTTTTCCGCAGCCCAGCAGATGAGGACCATGCAAGGTGAGACATTCCCTGCAGAAGATGACCAGGTTTTTCTAGGTGAGAAATGAGGAGAGAATATCTGCCCTTTTTGGTTGAGTGATGGACACTTATTGTATTAACCCATCGTGTCTAAGGATTGAGGGAGGAGACAATTCTGAATAATGGAGGTTCTTTAATTTTCAAGGGGCATTCCAGGGATTGCTTGAGAGCATTCTTAGCTGATATTCTGATGGGTCTCTGTTTTGCGTATTTATTTTCGTTACAATACAACTTGTAAATACGATGAGTTTCAGTCGAATTGAGGAAAACAAAACCGGACCAGATGTAAAAAATCCAAATCGCTAATGTCCAGTGAATAAACCACTTAATTTAAAAAAAGAAAACATTTAAACCGTTGGCACGGTGCCCCCTTAGATCTTTTCTATTGTAAGCTGCTGCCAAGAGCTCATGGCAATGCGGGGGGTCAGGCTGAATGATAAAGCACAGGCCTTACAGGATCACAGAAATAGGGTGGGGAAATTTACTAGGATCAGGGAAGTGGAACGTTTAGTCTATTATGTATTTAAAACATTTTTTGTTCTACAATCTAATCATTCATTCCCCTACCTCTTATTTAGCGACACACAGCGATTTTTAATTCTTCCCCATATACCTTTGATAATGTACTTTTTCCTTATAAACAATGTAGTTTTCGTATGTACCTAGTTTCTGAAATTAATATAATTGTAGTGATTTTTAAAAAATATATATATTTTTTTTTTTAAATACTTGCTTAACGAGTCCTGGTGCACGGATGGGATATTTTCCTGTGTTGACCAATATTTCCATATGATTTTACTTTCATCACTTGCTAGATTAAAAAGATGAGGAATTTCGGTAGAAAAGAGCTGCCCTGAAGGAGTTTATGTGGGGGTTAGGTCATTTGGGATTGGGAAATTGATCTAACTCGTATTGTAGAAAAATTAGGCAGGTTATACTTTGCAAACTCTGCTAATCTTAAATAACTATAACTCTCACAGCAAAATACATTTATTCAACAAGAAATTCATGGAAATTCCGATATGGGTAAATACTGTCAGTCATGGATGCTCTGTTTGGATCAGAATTGTTGTGTGGGTTTTTTTAATGAGATTTATGAGATTAGTTTGTCTTGGAACATGTCGATCTATTTTTAAATTACACGTGGTTAGCTAAAATCTTATACTTGTCAAGCCTCTCCCTAGCTTGTATTGAAATAATTCCTAGGTTTTGTATCTTACTTTTTTTTGGCATGATTGCTTTAGGACTGTGTTTATAGCTTCTTTGCATCACCATACTGTACAATAGTGGTTCTAGTTCTTATATGGTCTTTTTAAGGTGAAGGTCCATGCTTTCTTTGTTTGGAAATTTATGTATACATATGTTTGGCTATTTGTACATATTTGTTTTTGTCTATTTTTGTGTATGGGGTGTCTGTACATGTTATGTGATTTCTTTATGTGTATAAAGTATGTTCCGGTGCTTCGGGCTCACCTGTTGCCAACATGTCAATAAAATCCAGCATATAGCCATTAAATCCCCATAGACCAGATTGACAGTAGAATGGATCAATTGAAGTGACATTAAACTCGGCACTGTCATTGAATGCCACCTTTGCCAAGTCAGTTCAGAAATCTATGCCCAACTAGATCTTCCCTACTCAATTGTGTTATTAATGTGATGTGGTAGTGTCTAGATGCAACAGTAGCCTAGCTGCGAAATGGTAGGACAGTCATGCCCACAGAGCGAGTTGTAAATGGTATAGCACATAAAAAACTATCATCTGTTGTATCACTCATCACACCATTCAAAACCACCTTTAGAAGCAACATCAGTACAAGAACTGTGCGTCAGGAGGTTCCTGAATTGGGTTTCAGTGGCTGAGCAACTGTATACAAACCTAACATAAGCATGAGCAATACCAAGCGTTAACGTGATTGATGTAAAGCATGCCTCCACTTAACTTTGTAGTAAGGGAAATTTGTTCTTTGTGGTGGTGAATCACACTACACTATATGGCAGTCTCATGTACGAATCTAGAGGGGTGGATGCTGGGAGAAAATTAACTACCAGAATGCATAGTACCTGCTATGAAGATGGGGGCTGTTTTCCAAGGTTTGTCCTGTGGCAACTGAAACTAAGATATTAATTCTACAGGATACAAACACATTTTAGACATGTTGGTGCTTGCAACTTTGTGGCAACAGATTAGGGAAGGTCCTTTCCTGTTTAACCATGACTGTCCCCCTGTGTCCTAAGCAAGATCTATGAAGACATGGTTTTTGTGAAATTCTGCACATAGCTCTGGCCTCAGCCCCACCTAACACCTTTGAGAAGAATTGGAATGCCAAATGAGAGTTAGTCCTTCTTGTCAAACATCTTTGCCTGATCTCATAAATGCTCTTTTGGCTAAATTGGCACAAATTCCAACAAATACAATCCATAATATTGTAGAAATACTTTTTTTTTTTTTTTTGAAAATCTGTAGAAATACTTTCCAGTAGAGTGGTGGCTGTTATAGCCACATATGTATGTATGGGAAGTTACTCCATATTAATACCTGTGATTTTGGAGTGTAATGTACGACAATCTCATATAGGTGTGATGGTCTGGTGTCCACGTACTTTGAGCCATCTGTATACGCATCTGTGTGTGTGTGTTAGCTATTTGTTTAATTCAAACTTGAATTCAGGGTTCTGTCTCGTCATCTCTGGTGTCTTCTTTGGTGCATTTAAGGACATCCGGGTAATGTCCAGAATCAATGCAGCGTAAGCACTTGTGCTGCGATCAGTATTCTCAGAGCGTTCTGTACTTGGTCCTCCTTAAGTTGGGCTGGGCAGAGATCCTACCTCTATGGGCTGACAGATGGATGCACCCACATTGATACCCCCTATTGTTTTGTGGTATGCTTACTACAGTGAGCACCCTTTTCTGTCATAACAGCTCTATTGTGGCTTTAAATACCTAATAAAATAACATACAGTTTATGTATTAAAATATACCATTTGCCAAAACTATAAAACCAACCTGAACCATCCGATAAACCCCTCTGCAACTGCTGAATGTTTCTTGTTGTGCATTTTATTTTTATATAAGTACATTAGGCAGTGCCCAGCTAATAAGGTTTTGCCTTAGTCTGCACACAGTTTCTATCCAAATAATCAATGAATGAGAATGTTTCAACTCATTTCCAAATGAGACCCTTTGTGATGTTGCAGGAGAAAAAGTAAAACAAATCATATTGGTAGTTTCTAATGGATCACTTTTATTTTGCTGCATTAATTGATTTGACATATGGGGCTGCTTTCAACCAATTTAATAGATTTAACATTTAAAGAAGATTTTGGGAGAATGTAGAGATAATGCTTTCTATTAGTTATTTGCAGGTTAGACGTATTAAGCTGGGTATAGGGCAATAATAAACATTGCATTTTAGCTTCCTTGGTGTAATGGAAGGATCACAGTAATTATCTGGAGACTGTTAAGGGGTGAGATATTGTGCCCACTGTAGAAAAAACAAAAACAAAAAATGTAATCTAAGGATAACTTGAAAATTAAAATGTGAAAATTAGTTTGTTTGTTTTTTTAGAACAGACCTTTAGCTGACATGGAAAAGAGGATTTTATCTAGAAATGCTGCTTAACAAGTAACCGTGTCTCCTTTATTTCACTGCAATAACCTCCATTACACGAGCAAACTGGACGTACTGCACTGACAATTTCTCCGTGCAATCTTGTGACAGCTGACGACAGCCCTGAACTCCTGTGGACAGTATTACACCATTATTTTACAGGAGTCCCAGCCTAAAATGCCAAACTATCGCAATATGGTTTTGACAGTTACCTGGGCCTTACAGCCTGCTAGCATTGCTTCTAGTCGAGCAGCAAAAGCTAAATAATGTTTATTCATTGGCTGACACTGTCAGCTGAGCACCCTCAGCCAATGAATGCATTCATGTCATGGAAAAAACTGCACTGCTTTTGATCTTCTTGAGTTGAGTAGTCAAATATCTGACACTCGGTGGAATCTAGGTAATTGTCAAACCATATTAAAAACAGTTTGCCAGAGTACTCTGGGATTGCGAAAGGGTCTTCATGGCACCATAACCACTACAGCAGGCTATGGGTGTTCCTTTAAATTTACCCATAATCCAATGGCAAGTGGACATTTTGAGCCTTGTTAAATTAAATAACAATATCAATTTGGGTTATTGTAGCTACTCCGTTTGCTTCACCATTCCACAAAATGTTGAATGGATTTTTCTCTTATTTATGAAGACCACAAGATAATTTGTCTGAGCACTCCCTTGCCTAAGCATCACAAAAAGGTTAGAATCACATTCTGTCATTTTCTCTGTGTAATCAAAAACATAAAAAATATTCATAGAATTCTCCCCCCAAGGTGATTTCATATCGTGCTGTATGTGGGAACTTAACTGATACTGTTTCACAAGGTGTAAGTAATTCTTCAGTCAGTAACATGTTAATACAGGAGTATGTAGTGTATGTTATCTGACATTTACAAAAAAATGTGTAGAAAATTAGAAGCACATTAAAAATGCAACATAAAAAAAATCTGAACAGTTTTCAAGGGATCTAGCCTCTTCTTCTAGTTTATGTTGTAGCTAGGGACTGTCTGAAATCTCCCGGCTAACCACAGCCTCTGTGGGAGACTTGTTTAACATGTTTGACAGGTAATGGGTCAGTTGGCTCTCATCCAAACTTCTATTATAAGTGGCAAGCCTTGTATCTAGGTCAGCTTTCTAAAAAAGATTAACAATAGTTTACGTCATTTGGCAGATTTCTGCTATGTATTTGTGGAGTAGTTGCTGCAGTATAGTTACATAGTTACAAAGCTGAAAAGAGACTTGCGTCCATCAAGTTCAGCCTTCCTCACATATGTTTTTGCTGTTGATCCAAAAGAAGGCAAAAAACCTAGTCTGAAGCGCTTCCAATTTTGCCACAAACTAGAAAAATATTCCTTCTTGACCCCAAAATAGCAGTCAGATGTCTCCTTGGATCAAGCAGCTATTACCCCACTAATTAGAAATTATGTCCCTGTATGTTATGTTTTTGCAAGTATTTATCCAATTGCAGTTTAAACATCTGTAATGACTCTGACAAAACCACTTCTGCAGGCAGAGAATTCCATATCCTTTTTGCTCTTACTGTAAAAAAAACCTTTTCTTTGCCTTAGGTGAAATCTTTCTTCCAGCCTAAATGTGTATAGCCCTGTTTATGAATAGATTTCCAGATAAAGGTTTGTACTGGCCCTGAATATATTTGTATAATGTTATCATATGCCCTCTCAGGCGCCGTTTTTCCAAACTAAATAGATTTAATTTTTTTAACCTTTCTTCATAACTAAAATGCTCCATTCCTTTTATCAATTTTGTAGCTCGTCTCTGGACTTTTTCTAGTGCCATGATATTTTTCTTTAGAACAGGTACCCAAAATTGCACAGCATATTCAAGGTGTGGTCTTACCAGCGATTTATAAAGAGGCAAAATAATATTTTCATCCTGAGAATTTATGCCCCTATTTATACATGACAAAACCTTACTGGCCTTAGCAACTGCAGACTGACATTGCATATTGCTGCCTAATTTGTTGTCTATAACAATTCCCAAATCCTTCTCATGTGTGGTTATCCCTAGTTCACTACCATTTAGGGTGTAAATTGCTTGTGTATTCTTAACCCTGAAGTGCATAACTTTGCATTTCTCTACATTAAATTTCATCTGCCATTTTAGTGCCCAGTCACCCAATCTATCCAAATCCCTCTGCAGCAAAGCAATATCCTGCTCACATTTTATTACTTTACAAAGTGTTGTGTCATCTGCAAACACTGAAACATGACTTTCAATGCCTATTTCAAGATCATTTATAAATATGTTAAATAGAAGTGGTCCCAAAACAGAACCCTGAGGGACACCACTTACCTCTTTTGTCCAGCCTGAAAATTTACCATTAATGACAACTCGTTGTATTCTATCATTAAGCCAATGTTCTACCCAAGAACAAGAATATTAATCTAGACCAATTTCTTTTAGTTTGAAGACTAACCTATTGTGAGGAACCGTATCAAATGCCTTGGCAAAATCCAAGTAGATCACATCCACTGCAACACCCTGATCTATACTTCTACTTACTTCTTCGTTGAATGCAATTAGGTTTGTTTGACATGACCTATGTTTCATAAAACCATGCTGATTATTGCTAATAACAAAGTTCTTCCCACTTAATTCCTGAATATTATCCCTTAATAGCCGTTCAAATATTTTCCCAGTCACAGAAGTTAAGCTCACAGGTCTATAATTTCCAGGAAAGGATTTTGAACCCTTTTTAAATATAGGAACGACATTAGCCTTCCTCAAATCCTCCGGTACAACACCTGAAACAAAAGAATCTTGAAAAATTAAATACAGAGGTTCACTTATTTCCACACTTGTCTCCTTAAGTATGTTGGCTGTTTGTGGTATTATGTGTGTGGGCTGTGGTTTTATATTTGAGTTTGTGGCCTGTTGTTTTGTGGTTGGGTAGCATGTGGAGGTTTTGTAATTGCGTATGGGTTTTCTGTGGTATTTTGTTTGGCTGATTGTGGTATTGTGTGGGTGTTGTGTATGGGCTATTGTAATATGTTATTATAAAGTTTTTTGTTTTTAGCTTTCCCTCTTACTTTAAAGGGTTACTCCAACCACCACGACCCCTTCTGCTTTCGAAGTGGTTATGGTGATTGGAGTCTGGATGTACAGTGTTTTATCTTGAATCAATGCACATGCAAAGTTTTTCTTAATTGTGCGCAACCCAAGCACTGGTCTGCGTAATGTCAATTCTGTGAAGGAAAAATGTCTGTCGTCCATGCGCACTGCACGCTGCTGACAGACATTAAAATCTTTCCTTTTACTTCCCACCCTCCTTAATTTCCTTGCCTTTCCCTCCTGCTCAGAGCATGTGCTCTAAACTGGTAAAATGGTCCTATGAAAGACTTGTCTATGAGAAGACAATGATTGGACCTCGGCCTCCTCCCCTTCCTGCTGCGCAAACTCTGCAAAGACCCGGGGAGGGAGATCAAAAGATCTCCCTGACTGAGACTGTTTGCATGTAAGGGGCCTTGGCCCCTTACAAGTGAAGTGGCTGTACCCGCCGACTGGCCCATGGTTGCAGGGATCGAAGTTGCGGTTGGGCCCCCTGGAGTGACGGGCCCGGTCGCAGCTGCGACCCTTGCAACTGTGGTAAGTAGGCCATTAGTGCCAGTGTGAGCTAAACTTCTCTCACTTGTAGGTTTTGAGTTCAAGTCCTCATCTTCACATGAAAATGGGGTCCTTCCTTGTTTGTTTATTAATGTGGTTTTGTCACACCTTTCTATGCCCCCAAAAAGAGCATATCATAAAACTAATACATGAAAAGCTCTGCAGGGGTCATCTTCAAATAGGTATAACTCACCTTAGCTGCACACCAACTGGTGATGTCACCATTGGGGCTCTTTGCAAAATATGCAAGGGCCAAAAAAGGTGACAGAGCAACTAAACGGTAAATGGCCTGCATAACACAGAGGATTTAATTATGTTCAAATGCATTATGCCTGTAGTATAATGAAAATGTGTTTCACTTATTTTTAATTAGGTTGAGTATTGGGACATCATATACAGAAGGTGGTTCAAGAGACCTCTCTGAGTGGTGAGTTTACTAACTTTTATTTTTGTGCACCTGTTCCCCACTTCAGTGCTGCCTCCAATCCTGTGCCCAGTAAAATTAGCCACATTGTGGAGATGCAGGGTTTCCCTCTTTGAGCCATCACTAAGGCAGAATATTTACATTTTGCTATAAAGCATGCACTTATCTCTCTTTGTTAAAATTTTTACTGTAACTTTTAATAGCAATTTTTGCTACATGGCAGAAATAAGAGGGCAATTACTCATTTTTTTCACACCCTCTTTTAATTTGCTCACACCATGGGAAAGTATCAGAGCAGGTGGACAGGTGCCTATCCACTCCTATTTTAAACCACTCACCTGTAGCCTATAACTAGTGATGTCCTGAACGGTTCGCCGAACGGTTTACCGAACGGTTCGCCACGGATGGCGAACATATGCGCTGTTCGGTCCGCCCCCTATGTCATCATTGAGTAAACTTTGACCCTGTACCTCACAGTCAGCAGACACATTCCAGCCAATCAGCAGCAGACCCTCCCACCTCTTGGACAGCATCCATTTTACATTCATTGTGAAGCTGCATTCTTAGTGAGCTGTCCAGGAGGTGGGAGGATCTGGGAGGGAGGGTCTGCTGCTGATTGGCTGGAATGTGTCTGCTGACTGTGAGGTACAGGGTCAAAGTTTACTCAATGATGACGAATAGTGGGCGGACCGAACATTGCATATGTTCGCCATCCGTGGCGAACCGTTCGGCAAACCGTTCGGGACATCACTACCTATAACCCATCACCAGATTCTTAAAGGAACGCCATTGTGTTAGGAAGATAAAAATTATTTTCTTTTCTTCCATGCTGCCCTCCTGCCAACGTGGCTGAGATCATCGAAATCTCAGCCAGTCCAATACCTTTTCACAGGAAAACATTTGGAGGCTAGTTGAGTGACTGCTACTAGAGAATGGCAGTGTTTTCAGCAGCAGGATTAAAACCAGGGAACATGTCACCATGACCACTTCATTGAGATTGCGTGGTTTGGGTGTCTGTAGTGTTCCTTTAATGTAAGGGTTCTACCTCCTAGTAAATATATGTGCAAATGATGAAAAATAAACTGAATGAATGAATTTTGTTTACCACGCAATTTGATTTTTGTTTAATTTGGTCATATGGTGATTGGGACGTCTATCTACACCCCATCCCCCTCTCTAATAATATTTTAGGAAAGTCTTCCATAATATTCTGTATACTAATGAGGACTTTGTTTCTCAACACAATTACAATTAATCTCACAACACGTGCCTGCAAGTCTTCAGAAGAGGAAGATTTAGTGGGTCCTCCTCCTATTTAACACTAGCTTTACACACAATGTGGTTAGGGAATTGAAGGGGGATTGTGCTCACCTCAGTTTGTAAGTTATCATGGGGTCACTCTAAGCACCATAACAACCTTGTAATTGTGAAAACTATGGTACAGAGAGACCTTGCACTCACTGTCAGTATTGAGAGTGGCATATAACTGCATTGCTGTGTAAAAATATCTGCAGCTATAAGCAGATCTCCTGTCTCAGACACTGCAAAGGAAGACTTTTCAGGTTTGTTTTTTTTGCCTGGTCAGTTTTGTCCAACGTTTGTGTGTGCATGCACAAATAGTAGGAATCTCTTTTCTTTCTGGTCAGGGGTATTTGCATTCACTGCACACAGCCAGGTTAATAGTGTAATTAATCCTATCTGGTGAGTGGAATTATGCTTGTGGAATAAACTGCTTTTATCATAGATACTGGACAGGTGTTTATGGAATGGATTAGACCCCTTAAACCAGAAAAGAGAAGGCCGTGATTGGTGGAACCTCTCTCAGCTTCTCTAAACTGCACTGCTTTATTTTTGTTTTTCAATACTAATATTTTTAGTATGCATTAAAGCATAAGGGTCATTTTGTCCTTTTGTTACCAATTAATGTATTTGTTCTTTGGGCCTTCCGAGCACATTATGCACTGATTGGGAGAGGACCTTGCCACCATTGCATCTGGTTTACTAAAAAAAAAAAAAAAGACAGTACAATATTAATAGACAAATACAAAAGATAAAAGGGGACCTCCCTGTCAGCTGGGATCTAGGAATTAAGGTTGTTTACATTGTAAGATCACAAGCTACCTAGCTATGTATTAAAGTATAAAATGGGTAGTTGAGATATCAAGGGAAATGTGAAAGTGATGATTAAAGAATATGTGTAGCCACTATTGACGTGTAAAGAAAGTAATAAGAAAGAATTTAGATATTAGGCAGCTGGAAAAGTTTGCTGTTTACTCTACTCGCTCCTCGGCAACCCAGCCTCTGATATGCTCAACCTCACGCCATACTAATCCAAGCCAGTGGACCCCAGGCACGATAATGATTTCAATCAACTGAAGATGTCATGGTGCCTGGAGTGTCCCTTTAAATCCCTTTGTTTATGCAGTCTAGCCACACCTTCCCTGGCTATGATTCACACAGCCTCCATACACAGTTCCTGAAAAATACTTTTTTTTTTAGCATTCCTTATTGTACAGTGTGCTTAATTAGAATTTCTTAGCTCATTCTTGATTGGTAGCCTTCAAGAGCTTGCAGTCTACTGTGTGTGATTAAAGTTCAATTACAGTGCAGATAAACAAGTATTATGTAAACACAATATGCTGTAATATCTGATTGAAAATGAAACCATTTTTTTTTATATGGAGACTGTGTGATTTAAAGCCAGGGACTAGGGCTGTATAAACAGAAACAAATTAGATTTTATTTCTAAATAGCAGTGAATCAAGCAGTAAGACTGCAAGGTCTTGATCTATATATAAAAACTTAATTAAACTTGTTTTGGTGCTTATCTCTTTAACAAATATATGTTTGTGAGGTGTTGAAAATAAAATTAAATATAGAACTATACACATCTTTATGTTCCAACTGGGTGCTCTTTGTCAATCAATGTTATAAGCTCTGCCCTTTGCACCTGGCAGTCAGCGTTGAGGAAGTATACAGAGCTGAGGAGGAATTAAACAATGTTTCTATTCTCATCTTTTAGCAATGTTTGCCCTGGCTTTGCATTATCTGAATTGGATTGTGACGTAATTTGCAAAATCTTTAATATAAATTTTAAAGATAGTCGAGCAGCTCATGAAGAAAAGGTTACACAAGTTAAAGGTGATTTTCTGTATTTTATTCAATGGTATGAATTCCAGATAAGTGACAGTTCCTCTTTAAGAAGTCCTGGGGTGGGGGAGAGGGCACTGATTGATTGGTCTCCTATGTGACAGTGTGTCAGATTACAAAATACAAAGCATTGTTCTGCATTTATTCATCTAGTTTATGTGTAGGCACATTATGTCAAGTTATTAGAATGAGGCTGCGCAAAGAAAAATAAGAATAAAGAAGGGAAATAAATAAGTAAAAATAAATGAATTTAAATAAAATTAAATACAAAAAAAAATTAAATTAAAAATAAGTGAATGGATAGGTCTACCTTCACTAGATATATCTGAAATATTTCCTCGGGAGTATGATTAATAAAAGAGTAATTTAAAAGGATTATCAAAAAGATATACACTATGTATTCATTGACATAAAATCATAATCAGCAAAATAGTGAGGTTGCAGAAACAAATAAAACAGCAACAAGAATCCACAAACATTGGAAACAGAAATTCACTAGTAGCTAAAAATATAAAGCGCCAATAGCAGCCAATAAGTCCGAGGTGCATAAAAGTCCCAAAGGGAATAGACAAAATGTCTTATATCCACTTAGTAGATGCAGTGTGGAGGTGACTCTTTTTGATAGACGAACCTGTGGGCAGTCAAGTCCAGAGTAAGTCTCTAGATTCTTCCAGCTGCCTTAGGATCTCTATGCAGAAATAGAGACAAGGTCCAGGTTGGCTCAACAACTGCTCCTCGTAGGTACTTGTGAATCCAAATAACCAAACGCATTTCACCTTTCTAGGCTTTATCAATGGCTGTTGATTTTTTTCCCTTTCCCTTCTTTTTTCTTAGTGCAACCTCATTCTAATATTTTTTTTAAAAATTTTTTTTTAATTTTTTTTTATATTTAGTAGGTTTTCCTAGCAAGGCTTGCTGCCACCAGTTATTCCCTCCTTTTTTATTTTTTCACTTACACCCTACTTCTGCATTCACATTATGTCAAGTGGTTACAGGTATAGCAGGTACAGGGGGGTTATTCATTAAATAGAAAATTCTGGGGAAGTTGAATTTCAGAATATAGGTTAAAAAAATTGAAGTTAACAAAACTATTAAACTGAAAATATGAGCACGTCATAGAACTTCAAATTAAGAATTCTTCTTTTTTTATTTTCAGGAAAGGTGGAAAGAAGACATTGAACTAGAGGACACTTGTTAAAATGCAAAAACTGATTTTTATATGTTAAATATGATAGTCTGATTATAAGCCAAACAAGAATGACATCACGGAGTCATAGCTATTTGCACCGTGCTCTCCTTACACCCCGATGGGTATCTGATGGGGCCCTCAGTGGAATAGCAGAAATCACCTCCTTCCTTTACCTTGGTCGCGGCAGTGTGGCATCAAATAGGACTCTACTTTTGGCCAAAGGCATCACCTGCATTATCAATGCTACAATCGAAATCCCAAATTTCAACTGGCCTCAATTTGAATATGTGAAAGTTCCTCTGTCAGACATGCCCCATGCTCCTATATCCTTATATTTTGACAGTGTGGCTGATAAGATACACAGCATAGCTAGAAAACATGGTGCCACCTTGGTACACTGTGCAGCAGGCGTTAGCCGATCGGCATCACTCTGCATCGCCTACTTGATGAAGTATCACAAGGTGTCCCTTTTAGAGTCTTACAACTGGATCAAAACAAGACGACCTGTAATAAGACCCAACATTGGATTCTGGAGACAACTGATTGAGTATGAACGGAAACTGTTTGGAAGATGCTCAGTGAAGATGGTGCACACACCATATGGTGTCATTCCAGATGTATATGTAAAAGAGAGGAGGAATCTGATGCCTTACTGGAGAATTTAATGAATTACAGCACTGCATCCAGAATAAAATACAATGTAGAAGATTAAGAAGCTCTTTAATTAGTTTTGTGAATCTTGAAAACACATCCTCATACCTAGAATTTATCTGTGACCATAATGTAGCAAGAACAATTGTTAATTGAATAAATGCCAAAGGATGAATTAGAGGAACATTCCTAGCACTATAATAGTTTGCAAGCAGTTTGGTGACGTACATGATGTCTGCGGGAACTAGTCACCTCCTCTGTGAGAACCAGAAGTTCGTTGGATTGACTCAAGCTTGGAAGTGCAAGATATCTCACTGGTGGCAAGCAGTTAGCAGACACTCTCAAGCAATGAAGTGGAACTGCACAGGAGGGTTTAGCTCAGGAGAGCTAATGAAAAAATCTGCTGGCAATGGAGGAGGTGACTGTCCTCCAGTGGACCCCAGGTAAGTAGTCTAGCCATTAACAAATGGTTTGACTACTTACATTGCACTGTAGTGGATATGGTGCTTGGAGTGTTTCTTTAAGAGATTTCATGCAACTTCCTTTAGTTATCCATATAAACAGCAAAGATAAACCAAGAACCAAATAGATGTTTCAATGCTGCATACAGGACACATTAAAAACATATCTAAATACATTATGTATGCATTTTTGTGGGTATTATATTATTATTTTTTTGTTTAGCCTTTTTTTTCCTCCCGATAAATCCACTACAGTCATCAGCAGTAGTATATTTTGTCGGACTACCTGAAAAAACCCATAAAGTAAATAGAAAATGAATGCTTTCAACATGTTATATAACTATCTTGCTGTATACAACTTGATAAGCTACTGCATGATTGCTAGGGGGAATAAATAAATGATCTATATATTTTTTTTTTACATTAACATGCACATGATAGCTCAGAAGAACTTGGTTAAGTTTGTATTGCATGCATGGTGTAAAGATAACAGCAACTGGATTTAAATATAGGCTCCCTGGAACCTTTGTTTCAAGATATATTTCTACATATGCAAAGGGAGGGTTTTGCCTGTGCTTTATCACGGACAGGTAACAACTGAAAACTTAGCAAATGTTTAAAAATGTTTAATAAATATTCTGTTCACCAAATGGCTTTATCCTTTCGTGTCATCATTTATTTATTTTTATTTTTTATTTTTCCTATGCGGAAGACTATATACAATCTTATGCTCCTACACAAGGTGACAAGATAGTACATAGCTTATATGTGGTAGGGCATTTAGCAAATAAATGCACAATTTTTAAAGGGTATAATGACAAGCATAGAAACATACTGAGTGAACAACATTCTAAGTAAACACAGCTAGACTTGGCTTAAAGTTAAAGAGTAGGTTTGAAAAGGAATTAAAGGGCTAGACATGTAAATCACATATCAATATCAAACAAGCTGGGAAACCACTGGGACTGAATATCATGGGAATAAAAAAAAGAAAGTGATATTACTGCAGTGCCTAAAGGTAGTTGCAGAAATAAGTAAGTCAATTGCAATCAGCCAATGCAGTTGATGGGCCAGACCAGGAAGGGTAGTTTGGTACCAGGCAGTGCTTCTTGTCCTGCCATCAGCAGGTGATACCATGAAACAAGAACAGTCTCTTACTCCAGTCTTGCTCACCTCCTCTAGCAGAGACCACATGGTGAGCCGGTGCCTGGTGTCCAGGAATCTTTTTTCTTCATCTGCGTAAAAATCCTTGGGCGCTTGGACGGCGGTGTGGACGTACATCCACTTGGGCCCAACGCCAGTTTTGATTTGCCTTGTGGCACTTAGATCCGCAGATATCATGGGTCTGTTACTGCAGGAAGGTAATTGCCCTAGCAGGAACTGGGATATCCCCCTCAGCTCTGGGGGTAGGGAGTGGGTAACGCGGCTGCAGAAAAATGTATTTGTCGTGCGACTGCAGTCAAGAAATTGGCCTCCTTCCCCCAGCCGACTAGCAGTCAGGAATTTTAGGCTGCAAGTCCGGACGGTGAAATTGCTCACCAGTTTGTTGCGTTTCAGGATCAGGATAGGTCTCGCTGGTACCCGAGTGGTCAGCTGTATGTTTTGGTCATCTGTCAGGTAAGAGGACAAAAAGAGAGCAAGGGTGGAACCACGCTACAAAAACTGATCACATAGTGGCTACCCACCTGAAAATAGGGTAACCCTCAAACACTTCAGGAGAAGGCTAAGCAAACAGAACAAAGGGTACAGGTAGTGCCAAATAAAACCAATACGTAACTAAAATAGCAGTAAAAGTATATAAAATATGCCAAAAAATATACAAAGGTACCAAAAAAGTATTTTCAGGCATAAAAGTCTTCAAGTGTTCAAAAGGCGTCTATGGTGTGACTTCAAACATCAGCAGCATATGTAAGAGAAAACCTGAAACCAATAGTGCAATACTGCAAACCTGTGGACTGTAGACAACACTAAGATAAAAATTGCCAACTCACGTCTTATAGAGCTATAACCAGCTCTCGGTAAAACACCATACAGTGGTATTTAAACTCCCCACTTGTAGGATATCCCTCTGATGGTGGTTGTACTGTTGGTCATATGCAATAAAAGGAGGGGAAAAGGCCCATAGTGCTCTCCATATATGTAAGTTTTAGTGATAGAAAGAAATATTCTTACAATTTGAGGAGCAGATGGACCACTCTATGTATTAGGCGTGGGTGGAACAATACCCACCTAGGATTCTTTGACTGATGAGCCTGATGTGTCAGGTGATAAGATGTGACAGGTATGAATAAAATAATAACAGTATAAAAAACTGAGCCAAACAGATAGGTAGTCTAAAAATATAATTTTTATTAAACAAATTATAAAATCACAATGCATTTTGCCCTCTTAGGCTTTTTCAAGTGGAGTAAAATAAATGCCTGGCAACTTTGATTTATATACACCCTGTTCCAAATTATTATGCAAATGATATTTTTCTCATTTACCTAAATAATATATGTAAATTACAGTCATCATAATTCTAATGTTATCAACTATTAAGAGAACCTCCTAATGATAACAGTATTTTTTTTAAACATAAAAAACTTACAATGCATTGTTCCAAATTATTACGCACAGTAAGTTTCAAAAGAACTGAAAATTGTCATTTGTTGTGTTTGCAGCATATTTACTGAAATCAAAAGCTATTTCAATCAAACGTATAACAACATTTTAACTTTTTAAATATTTTAACAGGTCATGTTACATTTTAACATAGGACCCCTTATTTGATAGCAGCTTCACATTGAACTTGTGAGTTTTTGGACATAGATCATAGATCATAGATCTTTTGCTTGAGGATGCTCCAAAGGTTCTCAATAGGATTGAGGTCAGGGGAGGATGGAGGCCACACCATAACTTTCTCTCCTTTTATCCCCATAGCAGCCATTGATGCAGAGTTATTCTTTGCAGCATGAGATAGTGCATTGTCATGCATTAAGATGATTTTATTACGGAACGCATAGTTCTTCCTTCTGTACCAGGGAAGAAAGTGATCAGTTAGAAACTCCACATACTTTGCAGAGGTCATCTTTACACCTTCGGGGACCCTAAAGGGGCCGACCAGCTCTCTTCCCATGATTCTGGCCCAAAACATGACTCCACCACTGCCTTGCTGACATCGCTGCCTTTTTGGAACAGGGTGGCCGTCCAACAGCCATCCACTACTCCATCCATCTGGACCATCCAGGGTTGCACGGCACTCATCAGTGAGCAGGACTGTTTGAAAATTAGTCTTAATGTATTTTTCTGCCCAATGCAGCCGTTTCTGCTTCTGAGCATTGGTTAGTGGTGGCCGAATAGAAAGTTTACGCACAGTTGCAAGACTCTGGAGGAGTCTACACCTTGATGTCCGTGGGACTCCAGAGGCACCAGCAGCTTCTAATATTTGTTTGCTGCTATGTAATGGTATTTTAGCAGCTGCTCTCTTGATCCGATGCATGGATTTGGCAGAAATCTTCCTCAATGTGCCTTTATCTGCATGAAACCATCTGTGCTCTGAATCAGCCACAAATCTCTTAATTGTACGATGATCACGCTTAAGTTTTCATGAAATATCTAATGTTTTCATACCTCGTCCAAGGCATTGAACTATTTCACTCTTTTCTCAGCAGAGAGATGCTTTTTCTTCCCCATATTTCATGAAAATAATGTGGAACACCCTCCTTTAGTAGTTGTTCCCTAAATTGGGCTCACCTGGCAATCTAATTATCACAGGTGTCCGAGATTGTTTTCAGTGATCAAAAGAGCCCTGAGACACAATGCCATCCCTGAGTTAAACTGAAAAACAAAATATTTAATCTTTGTGACACTTAAATAGAATTTGCATAATAATTTGGAACAGGGTGTAGGTAACTAAATTGCAGTGGCCACTCTATGTAAAGGGTTATATACAGGGCCGGACTGGCCCACCGGGATACCGTGAAATTTCCCGGTGAGCCATTGGCACTTAGGCCAGGCAGGCAGCTGGCTCTTTAGGCGGCCGCATAGGGAGCTCTTTAGACGGCCGCCGGGGGAGCTGGCTGTTCTGTCTCTGCTCCCCCTCCCCAGCGCACTGCTTAATGAGACCGGGGCCGGAATATGACGTCATATTCCGGCCCCGGTCTCATTAAGCGGCGCACTGGGGAGCAGAGACAGAACAGCCAGCTCCCCCTGCGACCGCCTAAAGAGCTCCCTATGAGGCCGCCAGAAGAGCCAGCTCCCCCATGCAGCCGCCATCAAAGCTCCCCATGCCAGCACACAGGTAGAAATTATGTGTGTGTGTGTGTGTTTCTGTCATGGTGTGTCTGTCTGTGTCATGGTATGTGTGTGTATCTGTCTGTCATGGTTTGTGTGTGTATCTGTCTGTGTCATGGTGTGTGTGTGTGTCTGTGTCATGCAATGTGTGTCTGTGTCATTGTGTGTGTCTGTCTGTGTCATGGTGTGTGTGTCTCTGTCTGTCATGGTGTGTGCGTCTGTCTGTGTCATAGTGTGTGTGTGTTTGTCATGGTGTGTGTGTCTGTATGTCATGGTGTGTGTCTGTCTGTATCAGGTAATGTGTGTCTGTCTGTGTCACGGTGTGTGTGTGTGTGTCTAGGTCTCTCTGTGTCGTGGTGTGTGTGTGTCTGTCTGTGTCATGTAATGTGTGTCTGTGTCACGGTGTGTGTGTGTCTGTGTCACATTCTGTCTGTGTTATGGTGTGTGTGTGTGTATGTGTCAAGGTGTGTGTGTGTTTTTTTAAGGTGTGTGTCTGTCATGGTATGTGTGTGTCTCTGTCATGGTGTGTGTGTGTGTGTGTCTGTCTGTGTCATGGTGTGTCTGTGTTTCTGTCTGTGTCACGGTGTGTGTGTGTCTGTGTCACGGTCTGTCTGTGTCATGGTGTGTGTCTGTCATGGTATGTGTGTGTGTATGTGTGTTTTTACTCACCTTCCCCCCCCCACGTCGTGCTGGTCTCCCCTTCACTGGCCCTGCCTCTACGGCTGAGATCATCAAGCTTGATGATTTCAGCCAATCCGCATTGACACAGGAAGCACCTCTAGTGACCATCTGAGTGTCTGTCACTAGGAAGCAATGTAAACACTGCCTTTACACTAAAAAGTCAGTGTTTACATTGAAAAGCCTGCAGGGACAGGCTATAGACACCAGAGCCACTACATTAAGCTGTGTGTGTGTGCGCGCCTGCTAGTGAGTGGGCTTGCTTGTGTGTGTGTGTGAGTGCCTGCTACTGAGTGAGCTTGTGTTTTTATGTCAATGACCTTATGTATATCAGTGAGATTGTTTGTCTATGACGCTGTGTATCAATCAGCTTGTGTCAGTGAGATTGTCTGTGTCTGCATTTGAGTATGCTTACTGTATAATTAAAAATTTTACTCAGAAAGGACCAATATTTTATATTGGAAAAAGATATATATATATATATATATATATATATATCAATCATCTAGGGTGGCAAGACATAGCCTTACATATTACATACAACAATATATGTCGCAATGACTTACAGGGCTGGCATATATTTTTTCCAGGTCTGCTTTGGAATCCCCAGTCCGGCCCTGGTTATATAGGGGTGGGTGAGGGGTAAACATGTAAGGATTAGTGTATAGAAGATATATTGGGCAAAATTAGCCACGGA